ACCAGGTCGTTATCTCCTGAGGGTCCCAGACTGCGAGAGGGCACAAGCCGGGCTCAGAGACCCCCCCCCCCACCTCCCTGAGTGCACAAATTTTTGTGCACCGGGGCACTAGTAGTCATATAAAAGTAGAACACATAAAAATATGTATAATGCATGATACTTGATAATAATGAACTCTGTTACTGGTTTATATATTTACACAGCTATACTTTTAATTATTATTTTAGAGTGTATTCTTTGTACTTATTTGAAAAAAAGCTTGCTCCCTGGCCAGGTAGTTCAGGTGATTAGGGCATGGACTTGACAAGCCAAGGTTGCCAGTTCAGATGCCACATCAGGGCACATACAAGAAGCAACTAATGAATGCAGAAATAAGTGGAACAATAAATGGATGTTTCTCTCTCTCTCAAAGAAAATAAATTTTTAAGCAAAGCTTGCTGTAAAACAGTGTGCCATGTTACACTAGCAGCAGCCTCATACACGTTATGTTTACTGCATCTCTTGATTGCATTATTTTCTCTTATGATTGATTTTATCTCACTTTTTAAAATATAAATTTAGTGTAGCATTTAAAAATTCACAGTAGTGTACAGAAATATCCTAGGCCTTCACATTCACTAACCACTCACTCACTGAGTCACCCAGAACAACTTCCAGAACTGCAAGCTCCATTAATTGTGAGTGCCCTACACCAGTGTATCATGTTTTAATCTTTTGTTCTGTGTTTTCACTGTACCTTTTCTGTTTAGATACATATTTAGATACACAAATATTTACCGTTGTTTATAATTACCTACAGCTGTTAATATTTCAAAAACCCTTCATTTTTATTTTTATTTTTTATTGTGTGTTTTTTTTACAGAGAGGAAAGGAGAGGGATAGAGAGTTAGAAACATCGATGAGAGAGAAACATTGATCAGTTGCCTCCTGCACACACCCTACTGGGGATGTGCACCCACAACCCAGTGCTTTGACCAGGAATTGAACATGCATTTGGTGCACTGGACAGCCCTCCAACCAACTGAGCAACCCGGCAGGCACATCCAATGTGTGGTACTTTTTAAAAGATCAAATTCTTCCCACTGGAATCTGGATATTTAATCATTTTGTAAT